AAAAAAAATCTTTTGTTTGCCTACAAACAAATCCACAATTGCTGCAGGTCCATTATCTAATTTCTCTCCATTTCCATCTCAGGTATAAGAGCCGTCATGGTGACCGGCCCCAAACGCCCCCACCACATGTCTGTACACTGAAATATTCAGTCACATAGCCTCCCATACTCATCATACACCTCACACACACATTCCACCACCAACACACTTCTCCACAGACTTAACTGTATAGAAGTACACAGTCACCTTAAAACACACTCAGTGTTATGTGAACCCATGCCAACTCACAGCCACGTTTTCATTCAGAAATTAAATTCACATAGCATACGCATGTGTGTCTATAGGTGTTCATATACGAATGAAAGAACTGCGTTTCCAGACCTCTTTTATCCATCCCCCCCTTATGTTCCTCCCAACTCTATACCAACTTGTCACTTGAGGGTGACATTACATTGTCCAAAGTTACGAGGTGATGTGAGCATCCCCACTGCAGGTAAGGCGCTAGGAACACAGAGTGTTGGGGTTGTGACCGTTCTCGGGCCTGCGACAGAGCAGGGCAAGGGTGAGAGCACAGGGGGAGGGTGGCATCAGGAGAAGGTGGGTGCAGAGCCCGGGCTGTGGGAAAGGGACGTGGGCCAGCAGGAACTCCGGGTTTCTTATTATGACGCTCCCACCTTTGTTTACTGCTATTTATTAAAATATGTAGTGACTTAAGGTGGGGGAACTCCTCACAGTGTGCTCCTTCTTCAAGTGTGTCTGTCTTCGATACTTTTGTCCTTGTGCACCTGTTTGTTCTTTTGAATTGCCTTTTTATAGTCTAAGAAAAATCTGTTAAGACTTTCATTGAAATTAACTCCATTACACTTGACTTTTCAGAAAACTGAATTTTTTATTTATTTTTTTACTATTAGGATAATTTTTTTTTGAGAGAGCATCTCTCATATTTATTGATCAAATGGTTGTTAACAACAATAAAATTCTGTATAGGGGACTCAATGCACAATCATTTATCAACCCCAAGCCTAGTTCTCAACAGTCTCCAATATTCCGAAGCATAACAAACAGGAAAACTGAATTTTTGTGATTTTTTTTTAACTATGGATATATGTCACTCACCTTTTATTTAATGCCCTGTCATGTCCACCGAGAACATAATTTTCCTTTTTTCCCAGTTTTATTGAGATAAAGTTGAAACAGAAAATTGGAATATATTTAAAGGATACAATGTGATGACTTGGTATAGTGTCCATTGTGAGGTGATGTATTAACATCCATCACCTCACATAGTTACCTTTTTGTTTGTTTGGTCAGAATGCTCATGGTCTATTCTCTTAGCAAATTACGAATACCCAATAGGATGGTGCTAACTATATTCACCACACTGTACATTAGATCCTCAGAACTTGTTCATTCTATAACGGAAAGTGTGTTCCCTTTGACCCACCTCCCCCAGTTACCCCCATACCCGGCCCTGGCAATCACCACTCTACTCCCTGTTTCTAAGGGATCAACTGGTTAAATAAATTAGATCCCACTTATAAGTGATACCATACACTACTTGTCTCTGGCTTATCTTCCATAGCATAATGCTGTCTAGGTTCATCCGTGTTATCACAAATGTCTGGGTCTTCTTTCTCCCAGGTGAACAATATCCCATTGTATACATGGACCACATCTTCTTCATCCATGTATCCAGAGATGGACAGTTAACGTTGTTTTCATATCTTGGCTACTGTGAGTAACTCTGTCATGCATATGGGACTGCAGACATCTTTTTAAGATCCTGTTGTCATTTCTTTTGAATATACACCAAGAATTGGAATTTGCTGGCTCATGTGGTGTCCTATTTGCAATTTTTTGAGCAACCCCCCCGCCCAATACTGTTTTCAATAACAGTTGTGCCCATTCACATTCCCACCAGCAGCGCACAGGGGGCCATTTTCTCTACACCCTTCCCACCCTTTACTGTCTCTTGTCTTTTAGGAGATGGTCATTCCGACAGGTGTGAAGTGATACCTCATTGTGGTCTGGATGTGCATTTTGGTGATAAAAATAGTGACGGTGAGCATCTCTTCCTGTAATTATTGGGATTTGCATGTCTTCTTTGGAAAAATCAATATTTAAGTCTTTTGCCCATTTTTAGCCAGGTTACTTATTTATTTTTTGCTATTGAGTTGAGTGAGCTTCTTAGATCGTTTGTATATGAGGCACTTATCAGCTGTATTTTGCAAATATTGTCTCCCTTCCTTAGGTCGCCTTATGTAGCTGATTGTTTCCATCGCTGCGAAGAAACTGTACTTTAGTGTAGCCCCCATCGACGTCTGCTTTTGCGGCCTCTGAGTTTGGTGCGCCGTGCTGCTGGCCCTGCAGTTCTGCTCATGTTTCTGCTCTGCTGATCTGTGATTCTCTTGTTTGCCTATCAGCCTCTCCATTTGGTGGGGGCAATAGGTTGCCCTGTTACTTGAGTTCTCTGATTAAACTAAGGAAGTGAATGGTTTTCATTTTATCTAGCTTTTTAAAATTTTGTGGGAGGGCATGATCACTTCCAAGCCCCTTACGTGCTAGAGTAGAAACTGGAAGTTTCTTACCTTTATGTTTTCAAAATATTGTTTCTGAAGTGATATAATTATTCACATGAAATACATCCTGGGTCATTCTGTGACAGGTTGAATTTGTTCTCCTTGGTCCTTGTACCCACCCACAACAAAGAATTGAAAGGCAAAGACACCGTAGCAAAGCCCAGGAAAGTTTTATTTGAGTACACTGGACGGAGGAGTGGACCAGGGTCGGTGGAGACAAAGGCTTTGATCTGTTAGGTGGGACACTTATATCTTGCATTCTGGTTACGAGGCACTTCTTTGACTCGCGAGGTCTGGGGTCATTTGATTGACAGGTGCATCTGTATAGTCCTCCCTCTCAGGGAGCATGCACCTCACCCAGCCATCTCCTTTAGGGAAACCAATTGTCCACGTATTTGTTTTCCAGTATTTCACTGTTGTTCTTTACACCATTGTGGATTATTCTGTCCCTGAGTTTTCTTTAATGTAGTGTTTCTGTTATGCCTTCAAGTGGCTGATTTTGTTGTCTTTTTCAATGTCAAATTGGCCATTGATCTTACCTAGAGTACTTTTCAACTCAGAAATTGTGCTTTTCATCTCTGAAAGTTCAATTTCAGTTTTTTGATATCTGCCTTGTCTCTGCTTCTCTTTTGGAATAGATGGGACATTGGTATTTTCATGTATGCCTCTGTCTTATTCTAATAACCTCTCTTAGTTCTAGGTCAGTTTTGACCTAGCAAATACCTTCAGTACGTGTCATGTTTTCTGGATGTGTGAGGAGAATGGTTCTTCTTTAACATTTTTTTCTTCGGTATGGTTATGTTAATATTCTAACACCAGTTACTAGACATGATTTTCCCACATTGCTCTCTATTTTATATTACATTTTGTCTTGCCAGTGGGTTTCAGCCCCAGGCAAGTTCATGATAGGTTCAATGAGACCAAGGAATGACAGTGGAACGTTCTTGGGATAAAAGGGTTTATTACCAGGCTTGTTCTCCCGGTGATAGGTTGTGCACTAGAACTACGTCTCCATCTAACAGTCTGCAGGGTTGCAATCCTCCTTGTGTCTGCCTGTGCCCACAGCACTGGGCAGAACTCTTTATATACTGACTCAGGCAATAATAGCTTATGACCTATGGGTTTGGACCCATTAGCCTAGCAGTAGGTCCGCTACATTACCTACCAAGTAGTTTAACTTCAGGTGAGGATCCTGGCCATAAGAACCCTAACTTTCCCCATACATTTCTCCATACATTTTGGTCTACTTCTGAAATTTCTATTCCAATGAACCTGTCAGTCAAATTCATACAAATACCACACTCTTTTATTTAGAGAGGTTTTGTGATATAATATCTAGCAGAAGTAGTTTCCCTCATGTTTTTTTTAAGGGTTTTCCTGAATTTATTTTTTGCTTATGCAATTAAATCTCTACTCTCAGACAAATATCTGGTATTATATATATTAGGTTTATCTTTCTATCCACAAATATTTCATTTTTCCTTTTCTCCAAATGTCAGTGTGTGTATGTGTGTGCATGTTTATCATGTGGTATGCTTAATAATTTTGCACTTACACAGGCTCTAAATATTTCTTGTTACATTTATTTCTATCATTATATGTTTAACAATTTCAGTCTCCCGTAATATATTGTAACTGAATAGAATCTGTGTATATGAAAACTCATGCACTGTATGTTAATGTTTTATTCTAATATATTCATTTATTGTTTTATGTTTCAATACAATTTTGAATTCTTTGGGCTCCTCCGATATATATTTATACCTTCTACAAGCAGATATGAATTTATCCCTTTATTTTCTATGGTTAATTGTCTTCACTAGCACTTCCAATAAGGTGGTAAACATAGAAACAATGGGAGCCTTCTAATTTTCTTTCTTGGTGAGTTTAGTGGGAATTAGTCTACTATTTTCGTGTAGATGGGTGAACAGCTTTAGAGCTTTTTTCAACTTAAGAACACACTAATATCTTCTTTTGTTTGTTTGTTAATCATTATCAACTACAGAATTCTGCCAAATAGCTTTGTTTGTAACTATCAACAGGGTGATCTTTCCTCTTAACTTTTAAAAGATGATCAATGTATTTCCTAACAAAGAACCCATTGCATTCCTAGTATCAGCTGCATGTGAGTTTGCTAGAATCATTTACTGGTAGTGGTATATGCAAATATTATACTTAATAATGTGGGATCCCTAGACATAGGTGAGGTTTCAAATATTTGTGGCAATCTTTGTAAGATTTGGGGAAATTATTTGCAAAGCAGTATTCCTCAATACTTTTGAATTGCCCAAGTAGCATGTGTTTATCTATTTCAGTGTAGCGACTATCATGGATAAACCGTACCATCTGGGGCTGTTTCTGTGTGGGAGTTCCTTCATAAATATTGCTGTTTATTCTATGGATGGAGTAGAGTTCATAATTTGCACCTCTGGGGTCAATATCATAAAATATATATTCCTAGAAATATCCATGTCAATGAGACATTTGAATTAATTTCCACTGAATTGTACAAGTAACCTCTAGAGTTTTTTTAGCTTTACTTATTTGTATCATATTTTTCCTATCACCTTTCTTTTCTTGAAAACCCTTGTCAGGCCCTTGTATGATTACATGTCTCTGCTCAGATCCTTCCTTATTTTGCAGCCCAGGAACCTGAGGGTAAACAGACGATCATATTTTAAGGACAGTGAACTTGTCAGGGAAGTGCAGGCTCCAGTTACATGCATAGGCTTTGATAAAGGAGCCAGGGGCATACAGTGGGGAAATGACAGCCTCTTCAACAGCTGGTGTTGGCAAAACTGGGCAGCTGCATGTAAGAGAATGAAACTGGGTTATTGTCTAACCCCACACACAAAAGTAAACTCAAAATGGATCAAAGACCTGAATGTAAGTCATGAAACCATAAAACTCTTAGAAAAAAATGTAGGCAAAAATCTCTTGGACTAAGAAGGCAGGTGGGGAGGGAGGGAGACGGGGACTGAGGGGTACTATGTTTAGTGCACATGGTGTGGGGGATCACGAGGAGAACAGTGTAACACAGAGAAGGCACATAGTGGATCTGTGGCATCTTGCTGCACTAATGGACAGTGACTGCATTGGGGTATGGGTGGGGACTTGATAAAACGGGTAAATGTAGTAACCACATTGTTTTTTCATGTGAAACCTTCATAAGAGTGTATATCAATAATACCTTAATAAAAAAAATCTCTTGGACATAAACACAAGCAACTTCTTCATGAACATATCTCCCTGGGCAAGGGAAACAAATGCAAAAATGAACAAGTGGGACTACATCAAACTAAAAAGCTTCTGTACAGCAAAGGACACCATCACTAGAACAAAAAGACATCCTACAGTATGGGATAATATGTTCATAAATGACATATCCAGTAAGGGGTTGAATCCAAAAGATATAGAGCTCACACACCTGAATAAACAAAAAGCATATAATCCAATAAAAAAATGGGCAGACGATCGGAACAGACAGTTCTCTAAAGAAGAATTTCAGATGACCAGCAGGCACATGAAAAGATGCTCCAATCCCTAACTATCAGAGAAATGCAAATTAAAAACACAATGAGATATCACCTCACACCAGTTAGGATGGCCACCATCCAAAAGACAACAGCAACAAATGTTGGCAATGATGTGGAGAAAGGGGAACCCTCCTACACAGCTGGTGGGCATGTAAACTAGTTCAACCATTGTGGAAAGCAGTATGGAGGTTCCTTAAAAAACTCAAAATAGAAATACCATTTGACCCAGGAATTCCACTCCTAGGAATTTACCCTAAGAATGCAGCAGCCCAGTTTGAAAAAGACATATGCACCCCTATTTATCACGGCATTATTTACAATAGCCAAGAAATGGAAGCAACCTAAGTGTCCATCAGTAGATGAATGGATAAAGAAGATGTGGTACATATACACAATGGAATATTATTCAGCCATAAGAAGAAAACATATCCTACCATCTGCAACAGCATGGATGGAGCTAGAGGGTATTATGCTCAGTGAAATAAGCCAGGCAGAGAAAGACAAGTATCAGATGATTTCACTCATCTGTGAAGTATAAGAACAATGAAAAAAATTAAAGGAACAAAACAGCAGCAGAATCACAGAACCCAAGAAAGGACTAACAGTTACCAAAGGGAAAGGGACTGGGCAGGATGGGTGGGAAGGGAGGGATAAGGGGGGGGAAAGGGGGCATTATGATTAGCACACATAATGTAGCAGGGTGGGGTACACGGGAAAGGCAGTATATACAGAGAAGACAAGTAATGATTCTATAGCATCTTACTACTCTAATGGATAATGACTGTAATGGGGTATGTGGGAGGGACTTGATAATAGGGAGAGTCTAGTAACCATGATGTTGTTCATTTAATTGTACATTAATGATATAAAAAAAAGACATAGGCTTCACTGCAATTCTCTCGTGGGTCAGATCTCCGCATTTTCCTGTCTCCACCAAGCAGACTCTGCATCCAGTTATTACAGGAAAATAAAAAACACCTCGAAAACCCTCAGCTGATGTCATCAGAGATGCTCACTAGAAACTTACAATTGTTTATGGGAATTGGAAACTGCAAGCAAGTTTTTCTAAGATTACTTTCCGCTGCCCCATCAGGCAGTGTCACTGAAAGTGCAGGTGAGATTATAACTGCATGTCGGTGGGGAACTGAGGTTCCCGAGTCACACACCCATATTATGGGGTCTGGCTGCCTCCCTCCCACGCAAGCAGAGGCTGTCATAACTGTCACCTCAAGCCCCTTGTCCTGGCAGCAGAAGGAATTTAGTATTTTTCTATTTCAATCTGACACAGGTTATGTACAGAACTGAGGCGTACCAGAGCCTGGGTAAATGCTTGTGTCTAGGGAAGGGATTTTTCTGGGGTAGAAATTGGTTCAGTAACATACCCACACAGGACAAAATCATTCACAAGACACTGACTAAAATTGTGGACAGACATGGGAGGTCTGAGACCCTACACAGATTTCTAATCACTCCTAATGAATTTTGATGTAATCCTCTGTTGACAACTATTGGTATTTGATCTAAACTGTAATGGATTGTGTTTTTTATGATCCTTAAGATTATATTCTGCTCTATAGAAATTACAGATAAACTATTTTTTATTTTTATTAAGGTATCCTTGATATACAGTCTTTTTTCTTTAATTTTTTATTTTGGTATCATTAATACACAATTACATGAGCAACATTGTGGTTACTAGATTCCCCCCAATATCAAGTTCCCACCACATACCCCGTTACAGTCACTGTCCATCAGCATATGAGTCACTACTTGTCTTCTCTGTGTTATATGGCCTTCCCCATGCCCCACACCTACATTATGTGTGCTAATTGAAATGCCCCCTTTTCCCTTGTCCCTCCCTTCCCACCCACCCTCCCCAGTCCCTTTCCCTTTGGTAACTGTTAGTCCATTCTTGGGTTCTGTGAGTCTGCTGCTGTTTTGT